TAGTGGGGCCGGTGTGGGGTACACTTTCCCTGGTGGTGTGGCCCGGGCGGGGGTCCACACTGTCCCTGGGGGTTTGGGACCAGTGCTGGAGCCCCAGTCCTGGTGGTGTGGACCGGGGGGTGGGTCCCATTCCCCGGGTAGTGGGGCCGGGTACTGGAGTCAATTGGCCCTGGTGTTACCGTGCTGGGGCCACATGCCCCTGGTGGTGGGCCCGGGGGGGGGTTAGTCCCCCGGGGGTGTGGGGGGGGGGGCCCCGTTTTGGTGGTTGGGGATTTGTGGGGCCCCTTTTGGTTTTTTTTTGGGGGTTTTTGGGGTCCCTGGGGTTGGATTTTGGGGTCCACCCCCGGGGGTGGGAAGTGGGGGCCCCGTTTGGGGGGTTGGGCGGGGGGGTGGGGTCCCCATTTGGTGTGGGCCGGTCGGGTTACACTGTCTCTTGGGGTGTGGGGTAAACGGGGTTGTAATGGGGGTTCCCCCAAGGGTGGTGGGGCCTCGTTCCCCCAGCCTTTTCGGTGGGGAAATGTTTGGTTGGACGGGTTTCCCGTTGGTTGGCCCATGCGGGGGTAACACTGCCCCTGGGGGTGTGGCCCGGTGCGGGTGTCCCCCACCCCGGTGGTGTGGGGGGGATTTGGGTCCAAAATGTCCCTAGTGGTGTGGACCGGGGGGGGTTCCCCCACGCCCTTTGTGGTGTGGACCGTGCGGGTCAGGTTTAGCTGTGAGGTAAAAAGGGGAAAATTTATTGAGCATTTTAGGGCCGGGTTGGGGCCCGGTTTTGTGCGGGGAGGGGCGGGGAGAACCAGCCAAGGCGGGTGGGGAGGGACTGTACACCCCAACCCCCCTGCCAATTCCGTGGACCCTCCGTCCATTATTATTCCCCTCGCCCTTTTCGTTAAAATGAAATTCTTGTCCGGTCCACTTATTAGCGGGTGAGGCGGCAGCCCCACCCCCTCCCCGCCCTGCCTCACCGCCCCCCTTGGGTTTTGACGGTCCCGCGTTTCGCTCAGGGTTTCCCCATCCCCAGTACTAGCAGGCGTGGGCCACTGGGAGTCCCTCGCCCCACGACCCACGCCATCCACATATCAACCCCCCAACCCTAGCATACCCACTCAAACCATCTTTTTCCACCAACCCGCTCTTCAACCCGCCCCAAAGACCCCGTCAAATGAACCCCCAAATCGAACCCATCCCCCGGAGTCCCCAAACAAACCCTCCCCCCCTGCTATCAATGACCCATCTACACCAGCGAGATGCAAACTAACCCTACCGTTCTGCCAAGGAGCTGAGGGACTACCCCCTCATATCTCCATGGTTGATGGACTGATTTATTTATTTCACTACTACACCCGCTGCCCCTGTATTTGACTGAGAAGTCTCTGTGTAGGCGAAATCTTTGACCCTGCAACTTCTAACCCCCTAAAACGAATTCTCCGTGGTGGGAATAAAAAAGTAGCTTTAAATGGCGGAAATATGACAAATGGGGTTCTCAAAAAGTCCGTCTTGGTCCCCTTTGTTGTTAAAATTCACAAACGATCATAAAATAGCTCGTTGTGGTCTTTAAGTCTTCTTCATTCCCCTTTCCCATGTTTATACAAGTCTGCCTAAAAGAATCCTTCCAAACGAACACTTTCCAAACGAATCCCTTCCCAAAAGAAAATTTCCAAAAACCCTCCCCCAAAGAACAGTTCCAAAAAGAACCCTCCCAAACGAAATTTTCCCCCAAAAGAACATTTCCAAATTAAGCTTCCAAACGAATCTTTTTATTCGAACCCCTACCAAAAAAGCCTTCCAAACGAAAACCCCCCCAAAAAGAACCACCAAGACAAAACCCGGTACACGAGCTCTCCTTCACGGTCTAGCCCACATGCTACGGTACAAATTGTTTTAGTTTACAGAGATCCCCCCTAACACCTCCTCTGGAAGTCTTCTCCCTCGGAAAGCCCATCAAATTTTTGGTGGGATATTTCTATGTAATGATTTAAAAGTCCCGTAAGTTTGATTGCATAAGCGCGATCCGTGGCGTCGCGAGGTGCGTTCACAAGTGGGCATCTGTTGGGGGCTGGACGATGAATTATGAACCCCTAACGAGGGAAGTAGGAGCGTTGTTGGTGTAGGCTCACAGCGTAAAGTGTTCGAAGTGAGTGTGTCCCGTGGTTTACCCGTCCTGACCACCCGGACCCGTCCCTTCCCCTCCCCGTGCTCTGGGCCCCCTTGCCCCCTCCCCCTCCCTTTTTTTCCTGGCCCTTCCGTCCCCGTTCTTTGTCTCTCCCCTCCCAAACTTTTCCACCTGAAACTGTAGTTTATGAGTA